CATGTCTGTTTCATTTTGCTCTTTGAGTCGAACGCGCGTTGCTTCGTGTTGGGGTTTATGGATAGATGGATGGAGAGGTGGATAGGTAAATAGATGGATGGAGAGGTGGGTAGATAGATAGATAGACAGATAGATTGATGGATAGGTAAATAGATGGATGGAGAGGTGGGTAGATAGATAGATTGATGGATAGGTAGATGGATGGATAGGTACATAGGTGGATAGGTAAATAGGTGGATGGAGAGGTGGATAGATAAATAGATGGATGGAGAGGTGGATAGGTAAATAGGTGGATGGAGAGGCGGATAGGTAAATAGATGGATGGAGAGGTGGGTAGATAGATAGATAGAAAGATAGATTGATGGATAGGTAAATAGGTAGATGGAGAGGTGGATAGGTAAATAGATGGATGGAGAGGTGGATAGATAGATAGATAGACAGATAGATTGATGGATAGGTAAATAGGTGGATGGAGAGGTGGATAGGTAAATAGATGGATGGAGAGGTGGGTAGATAGATAGATAGACAGATAGATTGATGGATAGGTAAATAGGTGGATGGAGAGGTGGATAGGTAAATAGGTGGATGGAGAGGTGGGTAGATAGATAGATTGATGGATAGGTAGATGGATGGATAGGTACATAGGTGGATAGGTAAATAGGTGGATGGATTGGTGGATAGGTAAATAGGTAGATGGATAGATAGATAGATTGATTGATGGATAGGTAGATAGATTGATGGATAGGTAGATAGATGGATGGATTGAAGGATAGGTAAATAGGTGGATGGAGAGGTGGATAGGTAGATAGGTGGATAAATAGATAGGTTGATGGATAGGTGGGGATATGGATAGACAGATAGTTGGATTGATGAATGGATAGGTGGATAGTTGGAGAGATAGATAGATGGATTGGTAGATAGATGGATAAGTGGTAGGTGGATAGGTAGATAAATGGGTAGGTGAATAGATGGATGGACAGATATATGGAGTGGTGGATAGGTAGATTGATTGGCAGGCAGATAGGTAGATAGATATATAGGTGGGTAGATAGATAGGTAAGTAGGTAGGTAGATAGATAAATAGACAGATAGATAGATAGATAGGTGTATGTTTTGTGTGTATGTGCGTGTGTGTGTGTGTGTGTGTGTGTGTGTGTGTGTGTGTGTGTGTGTGTGTGTGTGTTTTGACTTTGTGTATGTCTCTATTATTACACCTGTAAACCTCCTTTTCATAGATCATTCCAGTCTTTTGTTGCATTCCCTCCCTCACTCCCTCCCCCACTCCATTCCTCCCTCACTCCCTCCATCCTTATATTCCCTCCCTCACTCCCTCCTCTTCCATTCCCTCCTGTGGATTGTCAGGTCAACTCTTCCTTACTTCATCCTCCTCTTCCATCTCTCTCTCTTTCTTTCTTTATCTCTCTCTCTCTTTCTCTCTCTCCACCTCTCTCCTTCTCTCCCCATTTCTCTCCTACTCCCTTCCTCCTTCCCTCCCTCCCTTCCCCCTTCTCTTCACCCACACCTCCCTCCTTCCCCCCTTCCCTCCCTCCCTCCCCTTCCCTCACTCCCTCCTCCCTCCTTCCCCCCTTCCCTCCCTTCCCCCCCTTCCCTCACTCCCTCCTCCCTCCTTCCCCCCTTCCCTCCCTTCCCCCCCTTCCCTCACTCCCTCCCTCCCTCCTTCCCCCATTCCCTCCCTCCCACTCCCTCACTCATCGCCTTCCCTCCCTCCTTCCCCATTCCCTCCCTCCCTCCCCTTCCCTCCCTTCCCTCCCTCCCTCCCTCTTTCTCCCTCCCTTCCCATCCCTCCCTCCCTCCTCCCTCTTTCTCCCTCCCATTCCATCCCTCCCTCTTTCTCCCTCCCATTCCATCCCTCCCTCCTCCCTTCTCCCTCCTCCCTCTTTCTCCCTCCCATTCCATCCCTCCCTCCTCCCTTCTCCCTCCTCCCTCTTTCTCCCTCCCTCCTTCCCTCCTTCCCTCCCTCCCTCCATCCTCCCTCTTTCTCCCTCCCCTTCCCTCCTTCTTTCTCCCTCACTCACCGCCCTTCTCTCTCTCTCCGCAGGAACCCTGGCCAGCATCCCAGCCGTGTCCATCCTGAACGTCATGCACAACGCCATCACTCTCCACAAACGAACCGTGGGCGCGAAGCAGCAATGCACGCCCAGTCAGAGGTAAGGTGGGCGTTTTTCGTAGGGGGCATGGCGGGCTGGGGCGGGATTGGGGAGGTTCTTTGTGGGTGGAGTTTAGAGGTAAGGTGGGCGTGTTCCGTAGAGTGTGGGGGGGAGGGGCGGGATGGGGGAGGCTCTTTGTGGGCGGAGTTTAGAGGTAAGGTGGGTGTGTTCCGTGCGTGGGGGAGGGGGGCGGCGGGCTGGGGGAGGTTCTTTGTGGGCGGAGTCGGAGGTATGGTGGGCGGAGGGGAGGGGGGGCGTAGTGGGGGAGCCTCTTTGTTATTTTTCTTCGTTCGTTTTTTTTTTTCTTTTCTTTTCTTTTCTTTTCTCTACTTTTTTGTTGCTGTTGTTCTTCGTTGGTTGTTTTTCTTTTCTTTTCTTTCTGTTCTTCTTTTATTTTCATTTTATTTTCCGTATCGAAGAAGACGGCTATTTCGTGCGCCATTTTGTGAGCGGCTTCCATATTTTTTTTTTTCTTTTCTCATAGGGTATTAATTAACTCTAATGAGTATCAATTCAAATGCTTTTATATCATAAAGAATGAATCTGTTTATTCATGTTATGCGAATCTCTCTCTATTTATATTTGTTTTAGTTTATTTTCTGTTTTTTTTCTTTTCTTTTCTTTTCTTTATTTTTTTGCATTACAATGATTTATTCATCTCTTCTCTGATTAAGTTCAGTATCTTTGGATTGATAATTATCTTAACTTATTCTTATTCACATTAGTGTTATTATTATTGACTTTATTATTTGGCATTATTAATTTTTATTTTCGTTATTATCTTCATCTTCATCAGTAGTACTAGTAGTAGCAGTAAGATTAGTGTAAGTATGAGTAGCAGTAGTAATAGTAGTAGTAGTAGCAGTAATAGTTTTAGGAATATTTAATAGTAGTAGCAGTAATAGTTTTAGGAATATTTAATAGTAGTAGCAGTAATAGTTTTAGGAATATTTAATAGTAGTAGCAGTAATAGTTTTAGGAATATTTAATAGTAGTAGCAGTAATATTAGTATTAGTAGTGGATGTAGTAGTAGAAGTTGTAAAAGCCGTAGTAGTAATAATAGTAGTAGTAAAGTAGTAGAAGCAGTAGTAGTAGTAGTAGTAGTAATAGAAACAGTAATAGTAGTAGTAGTAGTAATAGAAACAGTAATAGTAGTAGTAGTAGTAGTAATAGAATAACAGGAAATGTAATGGTAGTAGTAGCAGTAGTCGTAGTTGTAGTAATATAGTAGTAGTAATACCATCGCCATCATTATTATTATACGTGTGATCACGGTGCTACTAGTAGTGGAAACCGTCATCATTTCCTGACTAGGCTTTGTGTTCTAAAGTGAAGAGAGAAACAGGTAGGTAATTTCATCGTTTTTTATATCCAGGTGAATTTAATTAGTGTAAGTGATACGACTTTAAACGAGTGAGCTCTTTAGAATGGCCTCTGTGTGTTTATTGATGTGATTATTTCTGTCTGAAAAAGCTTTTTTTCTCTCTCTCTCTCTCTTTCTTTCTCTCTTTCTTTCTTTTTGTTATGTGTATTTGGGTCCTGCAATTTCCTGATACATTTGGTCATCTGACTAATCTGGAAAGGAATACGATAATATGGTATTTAATTCGACGAACTAGAAAGTCATCAGAAACTGGAGTCCTCCACCTTAAGATACGTAGGGCGTTAATCCAGTATTAAAGTTTAAGCCAGATCTCTGATGCGCATGAGCAATGGCAGCGTCCAGGATTAAATTTAATTCACTTCCGGACCAGACTTTACTTTTGAGCCCAACGATTAATCTTGCACATGCGCAGAACGAGCTATTTTATCCCACCAATCATTTATTAATACGTCATGACGTCATCAACTTCATAGAAGAGATGGAGTTGAGTTGCCATTAACATTTACAATAAGCAATAACGAAACAAAGATGTATGTGAAAATTCACATATATATTTTTATAAGTTGTGAGATTTTCAAAATGCAGATGTAACTCAGCATTGAAAAGAAAAACGACAAGAAAATATCACAGAGAATTGCAGACACAGTTTACAGACACAGAAAAGGCAATGTTATTTCCTTTCCCTTTCCCAGGTTGGAAAAAACGTTCCCAACCTAGGCAATACTCGAATAAAGAGAAAGCTTTTAATAACAACACGGTTTGGTTTCCTATTCAAAGTACAAATTCCCTAATACTTTAAACTATAGTAACTTCAAAAACCCCGTGGACAATTGTTATTATGATCCTCGATAGCAACGCCCTTAGAAAAAAGCTACCCTCCCTGTGCCCCGCGACCACACACGAGAAAGAGAAAGAGAAAACGCCCGCGAATATAAATTGATATTACGAGCGTCTCATTTTTATTTGTCACCTTCATTTCTACAATATTTTACAGGCAAACGTTTCCTTATCGACATTTGTGTATTATATGAAACTTGTAGAAGGTGAATGCTGATTGTCATTATACGTATACCCGCTTTTTTCAATGTAAAACAGCAGATTTACTGATAATCGCACTGACTCGTGCGTCTGGCAGTGCGACTTGCATCTTCTGTACAAGTACCGTGGATTTGCATAACTTTAATCCGGAATTAACTCTTTATGACGCATGCAGGAGATGCCTTCCAAGTCTACCATGAGATTTTAAAAGACGATTCTCTTCACCTGATCCGGTTTCTATCGCGGATTCCCCCTGGAGTTGAATCCATCATTTCCTGCCGAAATCTAATCGGCTTTATTCCATTTTTTTTTTTTTTTTTTTCTTTTTCTTTTTCTTTGCGAGACGAAGATGCAATTGAAAGGGCTTTCAGTGACTTGGTGGGATGCAATACATCCGTCATGATATCAATTGTTTTTTGTTTTTTTTAATTCGTCTTTATTAACCTGTTAATTATCATCAACTATTCGCTTTGTCATCAGTTATCACTAGCCTAGCATGTCCATTTTCGGATTAAAATGATGAATGGATGAATTGATAGGTAGATAAATAGATAAAATGAAGTAAAAAAGAGTAACTGTAACACAGCCAATATGTAAATTTTCGTCATCATCCATCAGTAACCTTTGAGAAAACTTAAGAACAATCATACAAAGAAACAAAGAAATTGACAAAAGTATACATAAAATAAAAGATAGTCAGACAACCAACCAATTAACCGATCGACCCATAAAAGTGGACGAAAACATTATCCCCCTCTCCCTCCTCCCCTGCCCTGCCCTCCCCCTCCCCTCACGTGCCCTCCCCTCCCCTAAACACCAGCCTCCATCACCCCCCCCACTCTCCCTCACCCTCACCACCCCCACCTCCCTCCCTCCCCATCACCCTCACCACCTCCCTCCCTCACCCTCTCCCCCTCCTCCCCTCCCCACCTCCCTCCCTCACCCTCACCACCCCCACCCCTCCTCCCTCACCACCCCTACCTCCCCCCACCCCCCACAAGTCCGGACTCCGAATTCCGCAGCGGATTCTCGTCGCCGCTGGCCTTGACGACGTTCGCGCGGGCGGACTCGAAGCCGAAGCCAGGCGGAAGGCGTTCGAACGGGGGTCTAGCCTCGCGCGGAGTTTGGTTACTGGAATCAGTAATAGTAATAGTAATTGTAATAGTCCTTGTAATAGTAACATTATAATATGGTATAATATAATACTGGGGTTACTCATAGTAATAGTAATTGTAATTGTAATAGTAATATTATAATACGATATAAAAAAAATACTGGGGTTACTCATAGTAATGGTAATTGTAATAGTACTTGTAATAGTAACGTTATAATGTGATATAAAAAAATACTGGAGTTACTCATAGTAATAGTAATAGTTATAGTTATAGTTCCTGTAATCAATAATATAATGTAATAGTGGAGTTATTCATAGTCCTAGTAACAATAAAAGTAATAGTACCAGTCCTTATAATAGTAATAATATAATACAGTAATATAATATGATGCAGGAAATATCCATAGTAATAGTAATAGTCTTTGTCCTATTTATTTTACTGTTTTTATTTCCAAAAGGCGAATTTTAATAAGTGTAAGTGATAGAACTCCACAAATAAGATATCTCTTTGGAGTGGCTGCTGTGTTCGTTGGTGGGATCATTTCTGTCGGAACAAAGCTGTTAGTCCTAGTGATAGTCCTTGTTCTAGTACTAGTTATAGTGCTAGTTTTAGTCCTATTTAGTCCTGTTTTTTTTTTTTTTTTTTTTTTTTTGGGGGGGGGGTTCTTCCTCTTTCTCTTCATCCTTTATTTCCCTTTTTCCTTCTCATTTCTTTTCCTTCTCCTCCTCTTCCTCCTCCAACACTTCACTCCCATTCCCTATCTCTTTTCTCCTCCTCTTCTTCTTCTCCTTTCTTCTCTTTCTCCTCTTCTCCCTGCCCCTCACCCCCCCTCCTCCTCCCCTTCTCCTCCTCCCCTCCATCTCCTCCTTCTCCCCTCTTCCGCGTCTCCTTCCTCCTCCTTCTCCTCCTCCTTTCTCCTCCTCCTCCTCCTTTCTCCTCCTCCCTCCTCCTCCTCCTCCTCATCTCTTCCCCTCCTCCTCCTCCTCCTCCTCCTCCTCCTCTTCCTCCTCCTCCTCCTCCTCCTCCTCCACCTCCTCCTCCTCCTCCTCCACCTCCTCCTCCTCTTCCTCCTCCTCCTCCCAACCTCCTCCTCCTCCTCCTCCTCCTCCCCCTCCTCCTCCTCCTCCTCCTCCTCCTCAACTACACCCAGGAGAGCGAGAGAGGAAACGGCTCCTCCCTCGGGCAAGGGAGACTAAAAGCGGAAGGAAGGAGATTGCTTCAAGAGGAGGGAGAGGTTGAGGGAGAGAGGGAGAAAGAGAGAGGGAGAGGTTGAGGGAGAAAGGGAGAAAGGGAGAGAGGGAGAAAGAGAGAGAGAGAGGATGTGGGAGAAAGAGAGAGGGAGTGAGGGAGAGAGGGAGAGGATTTAGTGGAAGAAAGGGAGAGAGGGAGAAAGACAGAGGGAGAGGATGAGGAAGAGAGGGAGAAAGAGAGAGGGAGAGGATGTAGTGGAAGAAAGGGAGAT